ACATAAGAATTTGTCGAAGGTAAGAATGTTTAACTCCGATAGGATAAGTCATTTCGTAAGAAGCTCATCAACCTTACTGCGTGCATTGACACAAAATCACATAAAAAGGGGAAGCTGGTGGCTAGAAATTCCTAAAAGCAATATAGGTAGGTGAAGCGAGAGAGAGGTTGATTGCTGAATCATCGTTTATCGAGTCTACACGCAGCACATGCAATAGCAATGATTGATCAGTCGAATGGGTAAATGAAAAATATTACTAGCAATCAAATCAAGCGATGGAAATAATGGATTTATGTAAACGAAGTTAGAAAGTTGTGTGTGTGGTTTGGTATGATTAAGAGCAGTAATAAATTGTGCTCGAAACGCAATCAGTGAATATTACCGTATAACACAGTGAGACTTTATCGAAATAAAAATTTTACCCACAATGGAATTATACTCTACCACAATGCACAAGTTTTATTCCTATATTCATTCAGTAATTAGTCCTTTCAATTTTTAATAGGCATCTTCATGAATTATTATTATTTCCTTTATTTCCTAGAGGAACATAGGGCTTCAGGCGCGCTTTCCCCTTGCGTTCGGTTCTCTGCAACAGTTTTCACCTGGTTCCAAGTCTACCGACATGCTTTCATCTTCGCTTCACATGACCTCCTCCAACTCTGACTTGAACGACCAACTCGACGCTTACCGTTCGGGTTCCACCCGGGGACCTGTCTTGTGATGTCACTTGATTGTTTTCTTAGAATATGGCCAGTCAACATACATTCCTTCCTTCTTATTTGTTGCACAATCGGTTCCCGGTTGGTTTGCCAGAGATCCCTCCTAATTGCTGATCTTTTATGGCCGGCCATCCGACCTCGAGTTCTAAGCGAAGACAGCTGTTAATGAAGGTCTGTAGTTTGTTTGAGGTGGTCTTCATGACGCGCCAAGTCTCTTATCTGTGTAGTAGCACTGACTTCACAATAAAGTTAAAAATCTGGATCTTTTTATTCATCCTGAGTGCTGCTGACCTGCACACAGACTTGACAGTAATGAAGAATTGTCTTGCTTTTCCTAATCCTTGCTTCAATGATGTCCTCATCGGTTCCGTCAGCCGTAGTTGAAACTCTGCTTCCAGGTAGGTAAAAGAAGTTGTTTATTTCAGGTTCCTCCCATTTGTGCTGATTGTTGTCTGTTGTTGTTGGTGTTGCTGTGGCTGTCGCTGTTGCCCAGTAATCTTCACCACCACGTCTACTCTCTCTATATTCACCTGAATTGAAGTACCATCTTTGATGCATTTTCTGCCAACTTGTTGCTTTTCACTTGCATATCTTCCAGTTTTTGGGGAATCAGTCACATATATCATCGGCGAAGTCCAAATCCTGCAAGTTTTTCTGTGTCGATCCATTTCAAGCCTGTTTTCTCGCTGTTCGACACTATTTGTCGCATTATCCGGTCTACCACAATCAGGAAAATCTTTTCTAAGGATTCCGTGACTTTCCCGTTGTGGATTACTTAGCATGCAGTAAATATGTTGAAAATTGCATTACTGTTCATGTAGACTTATATTTTTGGTTAGGCTCCATTGTCTAATTTAAAACAGATATTTTCGGTCTTTTCTCTGGCACTGGGTGACGTGGGTTCAAATCTCAGAAAAGACATAAATTCCTTCAAGGTTGCAAATATGCCTTGCTGACTGACTGACTGACTGATTGGTAAGTGCCGACTAGATAAAGACCTATGTCAGGCAGCGTTTCCTGCTGATTGCCTCCCCCAACCATCTAAAACTTCATATCTTCTAAATACATTGGTTATCTCCCTACCAATGTTAATTGCCGGACAGATGGTTTTTATTTGTTCTGTTTCTTTCCCTTACACTATTAATTTGTCTTTCTTTCTTCTATCTTACTATTTTTATATCTCAAAAAAGAAACGAAACAGGCACAACTAATTGAATTAAGTAAACAAAAAAATAACGGATCCGTAATACTTTGAGCAATCTTATTAATTAATTAATTTTTATCAGAATAGAGTCTCATATGTTTACAGATAAACCTTGTTTACGAATAGATAGAATAAACTACTCATTTATATATATATTGCCAAAAATTAAGCCGAGCTTTTGCCTTGCAAGCGATATTATGGCGTATTGCGCTTCAGGCAGCGGAAAGAAAAATTCATTAGTATAACCCAAGATATTCAAGTATTAGTCTATAGGGATTTGGCTGATTGGTTACAGGATTCCATCATGAGCTGACATCTGTTAGAGAGCCATTGTAAAACCTAGGACTGCTGGTCAGCCTAGTTTGGTACTCTTCAGCAGTATGTGCCCACCGCCAGGGTGGGAACCCAGGACCTTCTGGTGACCAGGCGAGCTAACTCGTAGACCATTAAGCCACTACGACACGATCCAATGTCTAGCCCATGAATTTTTAACCTAAGAGATGTATTTCCACACGGTGAGACAGGGATTTAAGCAGTGACTTAACTGACATTCTACATTAGACTGTCACAGCGCCTACACTTTAGAGATACGGTCTCATTTTGAAAATGTTTACAGCCAAATTATAAGATTTCGAAGACAATTAAATTGAAGCTATATCAATGTACAATATTCCGCTATTATACGTAGACTCGGTACACACTCAAAGTTCCAGTTACATCATTAAAGATTACTTTATTTGGTTGTTCAATAAAACCGCTTTTAGAAATAAACGATGTTCCATGTTCAGTAAAACATAGCAAAACACTGTCCAGCCATGATTTCACATAAGTCCACTTCATTGTCTTCATAAAATCAAGAAGAACAAAAGTTTACACTATAAAATGTAGAACAACACATTTAAGCGAACAACAGTGTTTTTAATCGGTACTCATCAGACTTAACTCTGAAATATATATAAGTTTACAAATAAAATTCAAATATAAACCAATCATGATGTTTTGTCTCAAGGATAATACGATGGTGAATACAAATTTTGCAATTTAAATTCACCGTCGTGTTATTCTGTAGACAAAACATCATGATTGGTTTATATTTGAATTTTATTTGTAAACTTATGTATATTTCAGAGTTAAGCCTGATGAGTACCGACTGAATAAAATATACATCATATAAAATAAAATAAGAACAGATATTTTTTAGATTATTCTATTGGCAGACGCTTAGCATGGAGATTTTGTGGATAAAGAAGACAACAGTGGAACTGAAATGTAATCATCATCTAATCTGCCAAACAAAACTCGAAATTAAAAACGGTTATTTACAAGAATCATTCGAAGAATACTTCATACGTTCCGTTGAATGACTTAAAAACAACAAAAAGACCCGAACAGGTCGGCAGCATACAGCATGCAACTTTTCAGCATCCAGTTAGCAGAAGTTTAGCTTGAAGGCCGTATTTCAGGGAAACAACAATGGCTAAGTGGTTATTTGTTGAAGAACTACAAGAAGACTTGTGAGATCTCAACAGATGTTTCGTCCGTGTTTGGGATTCTTATTCACCGCTACGTGCCCTTCATTGTTCGCTCCCAGGGCGTCTCAGTTACAAAATAAGCTCTTGGGCCATTCAGCCACTTCGACATGATTCAATGGCCTACGAATACTAACTTCTGCTAATTCGCCATTCACACAGCGCTAAGACCAGCCAATTTCAAAGTCGAGTGTTTCTCCTCTTACCTAACTTGGTGGACCTCGTTGGTCACAACGTCTCGGATTTTTCAGTGGCTCTCTAACCAATATCAGCTCGTGAGCAACCCTAAAGTCAATCAAATCCCCTGTCAACCAACACTTGATAAAGTGGTTACTTGTCGTAAGTTTTGAAGAATGTTTGAGAAGTCTTGTTGGTTGACTTACAACAACAAAAATCACGAACGGATCGACAACATACAGGGAAGAAATTCACGCATTACCACACGAGTGAACGTTTGAAAGTGATTTTAAGTCATTTGTGTGAGTTGATTTGAATGTGTCTGATGAAAGTCAAGTAACAGCAATGGTGAGAATGGTAAACGTCGAAAGCCGTAATACCTATTTATGTAAAAAGGGAACAATTCCTAACAGGGTGAACTTGCATTTCATCGATCAAACATGGTAAACTTCCATCTGAAATTACCTGAAGGATTATTCCTAGTTCACCCTGTTAGGAATTGTTCCCTTATTACATAAATAGGTATTACGGCTTTCGATGTTTACCATTCTCACCATTGCTGTTACTTGACTTTCATCAGACACATTCAAATCAACTCACACAAATGACTTAAAATCACTTTCAAACGTTTACTCATGTGGTAATGCGTGACAAGTAACCACTTTATCAAGTGTTGGTTGACAGGGGATTTGATTGACTTTAGGGTTGCTCACGAGCTGATATTGGTTAGAGAGCCACTGAAAAATCCGAGACGTTGTGACCAACGAGGTCCACCAAGTTAGGTAAGAGGAGAAACACTCGACTTTGAAATTGGCTGGTCTTAGCGCTGTGTGAATGGCGAATTAGCAGAAGTTAGTATTCGTAGGCCATTGAATCATGTCAAAGTGGCTGAAATCTTCTGGGAGCGAACAGTGAAGGGCGAGTACCGCTGAACAAGAGTCACAAACTACGACTAAACAGCTGTTGAGTACTCGCAAGTCTTCCAGTAGTTCTCCAACAAATAACTGCTTAAACATTTTTGTTTCAATGAAATGCAGTCTTCAAGCCAAACCTCTGCTAACTGGATAATGATACAAGGCATATTTCATGCAGGCCATCTGTGGTTGAAGAGAGGCTTAGAAAACAGTGCGCACACTTCTCATACTGCTATTTTTATTTTCCTTTCTTCAATCATGATTTCTCGCGTCAAATGTAAACAACTCCTGTTTGAATAATAAATATGTGGAACGTTCCTTAGAAGGCTGATTTCGGCATAGTTTACTTCCAGATACTAATTTTAATGGGAAAGAACCTGTCGTTAACAAACAGTCTATGATCTGTGAAATTTCGTCTTTAAGGAAAAAGGCTCCAAGGAATACAATAGCTTACTTGAAATTCTGACTGAGCTTCACGATCAATTTCAGCTGAACTCATAATCCAACCAGTAACCGGATCTATTTGAAAGTAAGGGGTGATCAAGTCATTCTTTTCCAGACTGTAATGAACTTCGGCGTTTTCTCCAACGTCCTTATCCGTAGCATGTACCTGAAAGAAAAGTAAATAATTATATAACATTATAAAGGAGCCAAGCAATGATTACCAAAACGGAATGAATTATTTATGAAGTTTTAAACTCTAATTGGCCTTCTACTAGGTTAAGTGAGTAAAATACTGTGGGTCAATCTACTCAAATGGCATATGAATAGAAGGAAGTAATCATATTTGAAACCTACACGACGACCAACTTGTGTAACACAGGGCTGACATTCTTCATTGTGGATCAATGGGTGAAAGCTTCCGCATTATGGTTATGCTATGCATTACGACACACACAAACACAACTGTATGAAAGAACTCATCTTACAATACTCATATTGTGATGAAGAATCCTTTCGTATACCGGATTAAAAAAACCCAAAAGAAAACAATCAAAAGAAAACAATTTATGCGAAATATGGAATATCTCAGCTGCGTTAGAGTATAGTTCTAAAAAAGAATAGTTTAGTCTGATAAAACACACAGAAATACTGTTTTATCAAACAGAATTTTTTTGTATGGTTTTGGCATAATGAAGCAAGTGGAACGTTATAGTGACAAACGTTCCTGGAGTTTTCTTAGGGTGATAAAGAGGTGTCTTGTTCGAAATAGATTGTTGGAGGCGATCGGCAGGTCACCTTGAACCTAATTCTCGTGCTAGTCAGCACTTGTTTGCAGAGCGTATCTGCAACTTTGAAGGAACTCATGTCCCTTGTGAGATTCAAACCGATGTCATCCAGTAATTCAGTCAGAGACGTTACCACTGAGGTGTTCGGGCTCGCGACTCACCTCCTGTAAGACTGTACTGGATACTTTCATTGGACACTGGTAACTGGTGTAATGTGATTAGTCCTTTTTTTGGTGCACACTGAATTCTACCAGTCAGGTTCGCAGTGCGACCATCATGCTGTGTATTAGATACGCTTTGTAGATATGCCATGCTGAAGAGTGGCAACCAGCACGAAACCTAGATTAAACAAGGCTCTCTGCCGATTGCCTCCAACCATCTAGTACCAGAACTTCACAGTGCACCGTAATGGTGAGCAATCTAGTGGCATGGTGGTCACATTACAAACTTGGCTGATGGAATTCAGCCTGCACTAAACAATCGACTAGACATAGAACACTAATTACTGACTAACGTCCAATCAAAAAAGAAATCTCTCTTCACTCTCATTAGTATTGACATGTGGTAGAATGATTACTTTCTGTTTCAGTTATCGAAACGAGAAAAGCGTTTACTGCTGTTGATTTAAGAAATAATAGTAGTAATGATAATAATAGTAATAATGCTAATGGTTTTATCAACAATAAGGATGAAAAAGTGAGGTAATCTGTGATAACAAGAATTATGAATAACAGCATGATCGAACAAACAAATGTTCAGGTGGAAGTAGTGGTCGATAATGGCTAGTAAAAACAAATGAACCGATTGAGTAATGCTAGACTGTAAGGGAAGTAAATGAAATACGTTTATAATAAAGATAAGATTAAGTGAGGATACGAAAGGCGTTGAAAATATAAACAAAGGGTGGTGTGGAAGTCATCAGTTGGTTATGTCTTAACAGGCTAAGGGAGGGATAATGACTGTACGAACTCCTTTTGAATGCATAGTTTAAGACGAATACGAAGTCTATTGGAAAGATTCGGTGGGATACGATGAATTACTTTGAAGGCTCTCGTTTTCTCGACTACACGACCACTATCAATTTAATTATCATTTCTACTGTTATGACAAATTGCACAATTTTTATTCACCATCTTATTATCCCATAGACAAAACACCATGATTTGTTTATATTTGAATTTTTATTTGTAAATTTATATATATTTCAGAGTTAAGCCTGATGAGATCCAATTGAAAACAATATTGTTCGCTTAAATGTGTTGTTTCAAAGTTTACTAAGGGAATATTAAATATACTGATTTAAGAAATTACACAATTTTTGTGAAAAATCATACTTGATTTAAAATACCATAAATGCGTACTTCATTGACTCCATTACTTGACACAAACCGGTTTTTTCAATGATCAATAATGCCAGAATTTATAACTAAAGTTAAACATAACCTAGAGATCCATAGACTTTAAACTAACATCCTCCTGATCACTGGCTGATAACATGATTATCTTGAATGCCATCTTTTTTCTGTTCACATTTTTATCATTCCATCGAAAAAGATAAAACAAAACTTGTTAAAAGTCGGATACTTATTTCTTATGAACTTCAACGGAATCTTGACTTATTTCAACAATCATAGTGTCATTGGAAACCCAAATGAAGGTGGTCAGTTATTCTCCCAAAGTTTGGGAGTCTTCATCTGTGCAAATTCATATTGGCACTAGAGAGTGAATCTGGATGAATTCTTTACATTACGAGGCCAGGATCTTTATTAAGTCATTCAGCCACTTGAGTCACAATTCATTTATCTTTGAATTTCAACTTTGTTGACTTGTCACACTAGAGCTACCCTCAACTTTCACTTCCCTTTAGGGTGATGGACTCTATTTCCCTCGTCTCTTCATTATAAATTCATTGAACTGGGGACTAAAATCAAGATTTTGGGTTTTGTACTAATTTGGATTGATTTTAGTTATAGATGTCACTACGAACGTATTTTCTGGCTACTTTACAAATAGGCGACTAGGAAGGTGAATTAGGTAAGACCTAATCATAGTTAAGTATAACCCACTTAATGCCAGTGAGAATCTTCTGTGTATTGCACTTAATTTAACTGAATAATTTAAAAAAAGAGTCCTAGAGTAGTTTTCGATAAAGAAAGGAAGACGAAATTTTCAGTAAAGAATGATATCATTCTACTTCACAGTTTCTCATCAGCTGCAGACTACTTTATTGTTTGAGTGGTAGTAGAGAAGAGATAAAATTGACTCATCCAAAATGAAAGCATTACAATTTTAGTTTAAGTTTTAATCACCAATTTATACGCGTTTAAAGTTGAAAAGAGTAGGAGGGATGAGACAGAAAACAGAAAAAATTGATTGACAGAACAGTGTTAGCTTGTAGGTTCACATAGCAACTCCAAAAAACAAAGGCGGTTACAGTTTATGAGATTAAGATTTGTTCAGTGATGAGTTGAGATCACTGAATTAGATGACTAATTATTGTAATCAAAATCAAAATTCAGTTACCAAGGGAGTAAGAGGTTAATCACACTCTTTTTTGATGTGGTTTTGTTCTCTGAGCTGGATGGTTAGTTTGCGAAGCTTTCATCACCCTACTGGGTGACATCTTCAGCGCATAATTCAATTCGTTGAAGTGAGCTTTTAGATTTCTCCACGAGTTTATTAATCATCTCTCCTGGTGACCTTGAACGTGATTGGTTGTTCATGTGTGTTTTCACACCTTCTAGGTTACTTATATTGGAACTGATTGTTTCTTTGACTTGAACTTGGACCATTTGGGTTTGAGGTTTCTTTCTTATCGGTTGATAAATATTGTCTATCTCGATGTGTCTATTGATTGATGATTCACTGGAATGCCAAGCTTCTAAAACTTCTCTAGCATTCTAGTTGTTTCCTCTGTCTAATATTTGAAAGTTGGTTGTCCCAGTCGAATTGATGTCCATGGTTGTCTGTGTGTAGTGAAATGAGGGACGTCCGCTTCGTCTTCGTATCCACGATCATAAGCTAGCCGTCAAAAGACATGATATCCACTCCCTCATTTTACTGCACACAGACAACCATGGACATCAATTCGACTAGGACAACGTTCAAATATTAGACAAAGGAAATAACAAGAATGCTAGAGAATTTTTAGAAGCTTGGCATTCCAGTGAATCATCAATCAATAGACACATCGAGATAGACTAAATTTTTCAACGAATAAGAAAGAAACCTCACACACAAAGGGTCGAAGTTCAAGTCAAAATAACAATCAATTCCAATACAAGTAACCTAAAAAGAGTAAAAACACACAAACCAAACAACCAATCACGCCCAAGGTCACCAGGAGAGATGATTAATAAACTCGTGGAGAAATCTAAGAGCTCACTTCAACGAATTGAAGTATGTGGTGTCTAGTAGGGCGATGAAAGCTTCGCAAACTAACCATCCAGCTCAGAGAACAAAACCACATCAAAATCATCCACCTGAGCTACAAATCTTCTCTATCATATCTAATTACACTCTCTTTCTATATGCATAAGTCTGGTTTAAATCGTTCGATTGCAATTACTTCGGAAAATCTTAGTAAATTTGCTGTCTATTTAATATTTTGAAGGACGTAGAGATCTTTACATATGTCTGGCATTTGTACTATAAGAAGTCTTGCTTACCTTGCACAGGTTTCTTGGAATATGTTCAGAAAACCGGATAGAAGCCCTTCTTTCTGTCCTTCCAATGTACTTGCTCCCGCAAGTGCATTCAAATTCATAAACGCAGATGGAGGTGGCATCAGCAGGGTATTTATCCAGTTTTGAGTGGATTATAGAAGGAGTAGTGCTGTATGCTGTTGTGAGTTTTGCTGCCGGGAAGATTCTATTTATTGTACCTTTCAGTCTTTTGTCAACTTTTTATGACACTGCATCTTCTTTGAATGGGAGACAATACGTCAATTTTATCGCTTCTCTACTACCACTCAAACAATAAAGTAGTCTGCAGCTGATGAGAAACTGTGGAGTAGAATGATATTATTTTATACCGCAAATTTCGTCTTCCTCTCTTTATCAAAATTTATCAAGGGTACCAACTGTATGAAGTCCTAGAGTAATTTTACTAACTATTTGTGTATACATGTTGTGAATTAGTCTTTGTAGAGAAGATGCTTCATATAACCATGGCTTTAGAGGAAGCTAAACATTTTCAATTAGATACCACTTTTGTTAATAATCTTTTTCTTCAAAATAATGTTTACTGAACAGAGAATATTCCTTTCGATGTCCACTTCTGCATCAGGTTCTAGAGTTATATATACGTAATAGTGAATCAATTATTACTATTACCAAAATTAATGTTGTTTAAATAACATCGAATCAATAAAAATAATATC